AAACGCACGTTAAAACGTATTAATATAAAGGGCCTGACTTACACAGATTTTTATATGGTAAAATGACGCAAGAGTTTCCTAAAAAAGAAAACCACCCGGGGTGTTAAGCTGGTATTATATCTTTTTTTACTTTACAAGTGACATAATTTTTCATAAAAAGCTTTATTATGACCTATGATGGGAACCTTTGTTAATAGGGCGTTGCAATCTCAAAATAATCTTTTATGCCATCATTACCTACACTCTCTACCCCAAACACGACAAAATGACCGATTCGCCTTTATAAACTCCTCTGATATTATCTTATCTATTGTCGAACATCATTTTATCATTCCTTCTTGTATACGGTCTTGAATGCACTGCCACAGAACACCAAATCATCAGATGAGAGTACAACAATTTATGCGACTTCTTTCCTAAGTCATTTTCTTTTAAACTCTCCCATGTATCACAATCAAATTAAATTTCATCTTTATCCTTCTTATTTATTTGGTTCACACATATATTTTAAACTATTTTCCCGTAATTCTTTCATTAACATTAAAAATATTGATTTTATATTTACTCTTATGATTCAATGTATTTACGAGGGTTGTCCAAACAATTCGTGCACTGCAGTTATTGTCGTGTGAGTTATTGATAGAAAAACATTAATTATATATCCAGGGCTGGGAATCAAAACTGCGTCGTATCCTACAAAATGTAAACAAACGCCGTCATCTTGGAACGAAAAAGGTATGTTTTTGTTTATAACTCTTTTTGTTGGAAATGACTAAAAACCAAATATATGTTTTAACACGCTCCACTATTTTCCGCTTCGTTCGGTATATGTTGCTTGCACAACTATTTTGTATCACAAAAGTTATAGCAAACTTGCAACTCGAAGCGGAGCAGAATTTTTATGAAGTTTTGAGGATACGACGCAGTTCATATTGCTTTATCCATCGTTTTTCCTTCAAACTAATTATATACTCATTTCAGAATTCACCATAAAGTTCAAAATATAATTTTGCATCATGTACTAAAATTTCATTAAAAAGAAATGTTTATTTTCCAAGAAAACAATAATTAATACGAAATGATACGACGCAGTTGAAAATAAAATATGATACGACGCAGTTGTATTTTCATTGCAGGCTGCATATTGGTTCAAGTATGCAAGTAAAGTCCAACAACATTCCTTGTTTGTGAATTTTTTATCATTATAAATTCGAACAAGTGACCTATACAACTTAAGTCGAGAGCAGAGGTCACTCATTGGTCCCGCGAAAATGGAAAATTCTATGAAGGCTTCATTTTCCGGTCGCATTTTTAGCACCTGTCATAAACAACTACAAATTCAGAAAAAAGGTGTGTCAAATACATTGAACACGTGATCGCACACCCATATTACAACGCACGTGTTTAAGTGCTGCCTTAGCATGCCTATAAACTTTTTCCCATGAGTTCGAAACTAATGGGGCTGGTCACATTTTTCATATGCGCTAATTGCATGGCTGCCTTTGTATAATTAACAACAATTTGCGATAATTCCGTTATTACGTATGTCTTTTTCGCGCCGATTTTATTGAATTAATTTTTTTTATAATTGATGAGAACAGATGAGCTTTATTATTTGAAACCTAAGTCGGTATTTGAAATAAAATATTATTCCTCTTTTAATACATGATCAGGAAAAATGGTCAATTATTCTGAACAATAAATTTTTAAAATTATATTATAAATGGGTAGGCTACGATATATTTTTGTAAGTTCTGTATGAGATTCGTTCAATTATTTTTATGTTCAGCGCCGTGGAACTTTACCGCTGATTTTGTCGTATTGCATTTCTTTATCGACGATGAGAACATGTCTACGGAATGTATTTTCTGGATTCGCACTATAGTGTCATTCTTCTTCATAAAAAAACTTTAAATTTTCAAATTCGGGTTACAAAAGATAAAACAAAAAATTAAATTTTCCCCCTAAAGTAAGTTTGGTGTGTTTTTGAAAGGGGTATTTTCCCTTTGCAAGGGGGAAAAAATTTAAAAAATGTATCCCACGACGGGAGTTTAAAGTTTTTTGGAAGGGGAAGGGTTTCCCCCTAAAAATTTAAATTAAAAGGGCCGGGATGGGAAATTTTAAAAGTCGGGATTATCGCACGGGAATTTTCCACAGATTTAAGGGGGAGAAGGCATTTAACATCCCTTTAAATACAAAAAGTGAAATTTTTATTTGATAATAGTTGTTTTGTCCCCCAAATTTTTTTTTCAGAAAAGAAAATTTTGTCAAAATGGATTAAACCCCTTGGTTTATTGAAAAAATTTTCCTTTTGCTATTTCACGCCCCAATTTTGGAACCCCTTTTTTTAAAACAAAATTTCAAAGGGGAAAAATTTGGGGATTTTAAAAGGGAGAAAGGGGAAATTTTTTCAAATTAAAGAAATTTAAAGGGTTAAATTTCTTTAAAAAAATTTAAAAAAATTGTTTTTTAAAAAATTTTATTTTTTAAAAACAAAGGCGGGGTTTAAAACTTTCGGCGGCGTTTTTAAAGAACCAGGGTTAAAAAATTTGAGGGAAAAACAAAGGAGGGTGTCCGAGGAGGGGGGAGTTTGGTTTTAATGTTTTTTTACTTTAAATAACTTGCAAAAAACTGCTGTAATTTTTAAAACCCCATTTAGGGGACTTTTCTAAAATTTCTTTCGAAGGGCTAAGGTTTTTGGGGCAGGTGTAACATTTTTTGCCTGAAATAATGCACAAAGGCGCACCTGAGGTCCTTATATACCCTTGTAAAACTAAAGTGTATAGTGAAAGTTTGAAATAAAACCACAAAAAGCAGTCATCACCTAGAACATGCAGACCCATAGTTTACTAAGAGCGTAGCTTGCCAAAATGAATTTTGTGATTCAAGTTCTTAGACTTCTAAATTTTTGCTAAAAAATACGGATAATATTGAACATACAGGAAAATAAAAGTAATTATTTCAGATATTATAATAAATAAAGTAACATGTTTATGTTTAACTGAAAAGTAGCTTCTGCAATGTAAATTGGACATGACACAAGCTTTCTAAATAATCAAAAGCATCAGAACATTGCTATAAACTGCGAATAATCTTAGTTATTTTTATCTAGCACAAGTGATTATCCGGTAAAAATAACATATATTTGCCAAAATTATCCCTGTTGGGGAAAAGGGAATGCCAAAAATACAACTGCGTTCCGTATCAAATTTTATTTTTCAAACTGCGTCGTATCATTTTCGTACCATATTTATTATTTTCTCGGAAAAAAACATTTCTTTTAATGAAAATCTAAGTACATGATGCAAAATTATATTTTTGAAAGTTTATGGTAAACTCTAAAATTAGTATATAATTTGATTTGGAAAGGAAAAAAACCGAGGGAATAAAGCAATATGAAACTGCGTTCGTATATCCAACAAAACTTCAAAAAATTTCTGCTCCGCTTAACGAGTTGCAAGTTCCTATAACTTTTGTTTAAAAACAAAATAGTTTACAAAAACATATACCGAAACGAAGCTGAAAAAGTGGAGCGTCTGTTTAATGCATATATTTGGTTTTCTGGCCTTTTCCCAAAAAAAAAAGTTATAAACAAAAACATACCTTTTTCGTTCCAAGATGGCGGCGTTTGTTTACATTTTGTAGGATATGACGCAGTATTGATTCCTAGCCCTGATATCACTTGAAGGGGAGATATATCTTAAATAAGAAAACAAAAGAGAAAAACATGTAACCGGCATGTCCTGAAAACTAATCGTCATACAGTTACCTTGGTAACGTAATACCGGCGTGCGACAAAAATTGGGTTAGTTCATTACTTTGATGCATCACGGTATTCTTTAAACACTACATATTAACGTTAAAATTCAGGGAAAAGTGTGTGTACGTATTCCTAAAGTCACTAGAAAATATGGAGTCATTTGCCCTATTGTAAGAGTCGTAAACAAATATTTTTGTGTGGTCGTCAATACTGTAATTACGTGAAAATGTCAGTCGCTAAACGTCTGGAAATACGGATGATCATTAAATTTCGTGCAAATATTGGTAAAACACCAACAGATACCTACAAAGAACTTGAAAGGGTAAGCGGGACAAGTTCAGTGTAACGTAGGCTGGTTTTTAAATGGCACAAACGCTCTGTGGAAGAGAAAGAGAGTCGGTAGACGATGACAACCGGTCAGGCAGACGTCTGTCCGTAATGCCGGCGCATGTGACGACATTTGTCCAATATATTCCGGCACTGGTGGAATATGCTACATGTACGTTGCATAAAAACAATAAAAACTACACAATACTTTGCATCAATCATTCCTCTATTGACAGTAAAACAACTTATAACATAAAAAGCAAATACCACTTTACAAGCAACAAACAATGAATACAATTACAGTAATGAACTAACCCATTTTTTTGTCGTGCGCCGGTATTACGTTACTAAGGTAACTCAATGACAGTTCTTTTACACGACACGCTGGTTACTCGACTTTTTCTTATGTTTTCTTATTTGAGACATATTTCTCTTTCAAGTGATATATATTTTGTTTTGTTTTTATTAATAACTCTCTCGACAATAACTGCAGTGCACGAATTTTTTGGACAACCCTCGTACTGCCTAGTTATTTACCAAATACAACCACCACCTTACATTAAAGCTTTCAGCCAAAAACTTTAACAATATTTTTACTGTTTACTACGTACAATTCTTTGAATAAAAATATGTTTAAACTTAATAATTCTGTAGCATTCAAATATGTTTCAGTGTTTTGAAGACGAGATTGATATACACTTGATGGGGTAATGCTTAAACACTAAACATTATATCAAAATAGCTCTACATAGCAGTAACTTACATGTCAATAAATTAAGCTGTACACATGTTGTACACACATGTTATCTGAGTATAAATCTATGTGTTATAAGAAAACGTTTAAACACGTTACAAGAGAACACTTTGTATGTGAAAATTTTTATTGCGTATATTAATATTACAAACAAAATTGTAAAAAGCAAGAATCAGTTAAAATGTGTTGATATCAACAACAAATCAATAAATCTTATTAGAGATCAAGATATTAGTCAGATATTATATGAAGATATACACATAATTTTAATATAATTGTCATAAAATCATACATGCATGTGAGTACATTCATTTTAAAATTAATCAAATCTATATTAAGCCAAAGTAGATTATTATCGATATCACAGTTATTTGTTTTTGTTATCAAAACAATATGATATGTTTCGAGTACATTCAAAATTACAATTCACAAATTCAAAAATATGAATCATATACAAGCTTAACATTTAAATATCGCTAAGCTGTTTCCTTTCAGTTTTTGCTTCAGGTTATTTTCCAAAATATGACAAAAAAGTTTAATTTAACTAATGTTTATTTCGATAGAAGCACACCAGTAGTTGTATTCTTCACAAACATTATTAGATGCAACTCATTACCAAATCAAACTAAAATCTTTAAAAGTATTTATCAATTTTATTCAATACACCTAAATAATGCTGCCATATTATTTCATCGCAGAGTACATGTCTCTATTGTTTACTTTTTTATAAAGCTAATTTTAGTATTATAGGACAGGATCTAGCTAAAACGTGCAATTACCGAGTGTAATTTCATAAAGAACTCCCTAAATATTTTTTGGAAAGCATTGGGTCATTGTTGTTGTTTGTTTATTGGAGGTGGTTTGATTTTTATAAAGATTTTCTTACCTGTTTCATTTTAAATTTTTTAATTCATTTTTGTTGAATTGATGGATTAAGCATTTTTGATGCAAAGGTTCTTTTAACTGAATTGACTGAAACCATCTACATGTTTACAGTATTTTATATACTGTTATATTTCCTATGTTATCAATATTCCTTTTGCAATTTGTTAACTGCTTCCCGGATTTTTGCAATATCACTCTGATCCGGTTCATCTGTTCCGTTTTCTTCCATCCTTGGTTTACAGTAGATACGAATGATAACTTCCTCGAATGTCTGGGGTAAGAGGTAAGAAACCTAAATATATAAAATAAACAGCATTTCATGTGATAACAAAATATTATACAGTTCGCATTTAAGTGGACATATTACCAGGGCTAACAAGTTTAATGTTGATGCTGCACATCAAAGACGCCACCAAATGATGAGAACAGTCAAAGGTAATGTTCAAAATCAGCCCTGACTATTGTTCTCGGTTACAGTTCATTATTCGAAGCACTAATCATTTTTTCTTCATGTTCCTGGTATGTGCTCGTTGTTTAATAATTAAGTTGCAAATTTTTGTGAAAAAAAATAGAACCTTATGTATAAATTCACAAAGTAATGTCATGTCTGAAATTCTGAAATGTTTGTCAGTTATGACAAAGATTAAAAGGTGTTGTCGGAGCAAAATACATGGGATAACAAGTAAAAATAAAATGATTGGTATACATAAAATCAATTCAAGATAGAGACAGAGGTAAAGCTCTACGTTGCACCGAGAATATGTCCATAAATATTGCGAATTGCATAATGTTCGAATGATTTTGAGGGCGGACTGTTCTGTTATTTTACAAATAGCAAAAATATGTCTGTAATATCAAATAATAGTTATGAATAAATTGTTAAATATAATCAATTCTTAGTTACGTATTGTTTACTTATTTATAGATGATTAATCTACTTGAGTAAACACAAGATTGCATATTTGCCTGGAATTTAGGTATAGAACCACTAAATATAATTTAAAAACTAGGCAAAAAAGAACAATCGTCACAGAACCCTTCAAAATAACCTATTGCAAATATTTGTGATAAATTTTAAACAAACTTACTTTTTCACTCACTTAATCTGTTTTATAACTTAAATGTTAATTATTTTTCACGAATAAGCATACATTTTGCCTGTTTTGCAAAAAGTATTTCCCTTGCAACGGAAGCGCTGAAAAATTTTTTTAGTCATACCACTTGTTCTCTGTCCGAATTTTGTTCCCGTCCTTTGAATTAAGAATGACTGATTGACACGTTATTCATTATAAAATTAGAAAATGATAAAAACAATATGATATTAAAACATGATACTTTCACTTGAGTTAAATGTTTAATTTAATTCCTTAAAGCTCGTTGACATGTGTACATCAGAAAAGCTATTTTTATTGGAAAATCTGAAAACAGTGTGATTTTGTCAAAACAAAAAATGCACAAAAGCAAGACTAAAATTTCCCCCTTTATTGAATAGACGAAGGAACGCGGCGTCTAACAATATTATACTATCATCGTTTAACCCTCAACACGCTTATAACTTGAAATAACTTGTACATCTTTCTATCCGGACAAAACCATTCATCAATATTAGGCAAAATTTCAAAATCAGACTGACTGAATGGCGACCAGAGCCGACAATGATCAGACAGCACATGTATGTCAGCATACCTTGGTCTGCACTGGTTGAATAAATGAATTGAGTACATACTTGTTTCCCCTCAAATTTTATTCCATCATTCGGCTTATCCTTAGTGTAAAATCGCATTTCCTCCAAAGGATTCCGGTCTTTCATTCCGTAGTCTAATCTTACAACCTACAAAGATTGGTATACATGCACAATTTTGATATTTAAAACTTATCGAAATCAACGAAAAAAGCCTCCCCCCCCGCAACAAACAAACAAACAAACCAACCATATATACACGCAAATTGCATACTCGGTTCGATTGTGGTTGTTTATGAAAACTAATGAAAATTTGCAATATTAAGGCAGGAAGCAATTTTTACTAAAAGAATGACGTTATCAAAATATCTTGGTGAGCCGAGTAAGATTTTCGTCTATTCAAAGCTTATTAAATCATTTTTATCATGAATTAACACAAGTAGAATAGTTAATCATGCTGAGAAACGTGCAACAATATATAATAACCAAAGTAATTAAGAATATTAACTTTTGTAGATATAACTGCCAATCTCAAAGCCTGCCTTTAAATTAAAAATACAAATGATATACATCTAGCACTTTTTTATTTAATTAAAAAACTAAAGGCTAATATTTATGCGATTTATTTTCCAACCTCAAAGTGCTAGCATAATCAGTTCAAAGTGACATTATGCACATGCATTTGTACTCAAGTTCAGCGGAATCAGTAAAATTGAGTAAAATATTTCAAAAGATTGATTTTTATAGTCTTGATTCATCAATGCTTGATAATGAATAATGTAATTTTTCTTGCATAGTAAGATATAAATGTGAACACAATAATGACCAAATGTGAAGTTATTTAAATTCTTACGTATGTCAACTCATCATTTACGCTCAAAAAAGAATTTACGTATAAACGTTGTTTTTTTTTTTGAGAAATGAAGGTTCCACTCACGTCATATTCGATCAGGTCCTTAACAGGGAATTTGTCTTCGCCTTGTAAATACCTGTTTATGCCATTCCTAACCTGGTCTAAATTAAACTTCTCTGTCTGAATAATTATTAAAGAATTATATATTTTTTCGTCTGAATAAATTGCTTAATTAGATTAATTATTTGTTACATTATTTAAAAATACTTACTTTAGACAAAAATTTAATGATGATTAAGCAAAGTATATAATTATGAATATTATTTTCATCAGATAATCTTTTTAAATACAAATCATAATCTAAAATTTATATATAATTGAGAGAAGCCTTTCAGAAAGAACTTATATTTCTTTAACTTTAACTAAACGATATTATAATAAAACCGTTGTTTACCGGAATGTGCAATTCTGACACAAACTTGTAAAGGTTCCTCTTGTAAATGTTGTCGAGTATTTTCTTAGCTTTTGTAGGATCCTCTTTACCAGCTTTTTTTAATGGTGTAACACTTAATAGAGGATTTAAAATGGTAAGGATCATGTCATCTGTTAGAAGTGTAAACGCTTTCGTGTCGTCAACTGCTTCTGAAATTCTACAAATTCGCTATATTCACTTAGATTTCAATTAAAGTGTAGATTTTTACAGGCTTATATAGTATGAATATGTAAAAATGTATATATCTTAATATTGTATCAACTGTTTTTGTCAGTATATTGGAAACAAAATATATCTCAGATATTCGAATTCTAACTGTGTTCGTGGTTCTGCAGTAGCAGCACTAACAACATCAGTTTCCTCACACCTATAAGGTTATATCAACAATCTTAAGGCCGAAAATAGAACGAAATAAAATGTGATGTTGTTCTGTCTTTGGTCCTACGTTTTATGACCAATAGTGTTTGTTTTGGGCCTAAAAATCAATAGAATCTTGTAACCTTTGATTTAACATATCCATAAACTTTATGTTTTACCTCTTCTCAGCAATTTCAATTTTGTCATCTGCATCCTTAAGGGCGTCACAAATCCTGAAAATTTAATGCAATTTTGACAAATATTACTAATTCATAACCTAGTCTCGCAAACTGAGCTTAACATAACCATTTTTAACTGCATATCTGTATAGAGACACTGTTATGCGTCAATTCTAAACAATACATGTTTTTTTCCTTCCACAAATTCATGAAGTAAGTAACATTTTCATTGCAGCTATATGTTGTAAATTTTTATCCCCAAATTTGTAACCAAATTTAATACATATTATATTTTATGTTTTCACTATGCATTAAAGTAAATACGAATATGATGTAAAGCTCATACACTGAAAGACATTTTTAATGTTACACTTGTCAAAATGTTTTATACACATCGGTAAAGAAATCATTCTCAAATTACACCAAGAAATGTTTACTCATTTTCCAAAATCATGTATTCATGACGGATGATCATCACATCATGTGAACAACCTTTAAAATCCTTATAACCATAAACAATTATTAACGCAGGTGTTGCTAAGAAATGTTTTTTTTAGTGTTTTTAAACATATACTAGTAACGAACACATGCGAAGCAGAGTGTGTTTATGTAGATATGCCGTCTGAAAAAGTCCTCCTTGTGTAAAACTACTATCAACCATGGCTTCCCCTTTAAATATAAAATTAAGTTTCGATTAAAAAAATACATTTTATCTTTCTTGTATTTGTTAATTGTCGTTCAAAAAAAAAAAACACATACCTTTTGAACAGCAAAATTATTTTATTATAACGAATAATGTACTTTTTTAATTAAAAAGAATTAAATGGAAATTAAAAAAAATGGCTTTTTATCCTTTTTTAATTTTATAGGAGGCATTTTAATTTTTAAATTAAAAGAATTTTTATTCTTCAGTAATGCATGTTAAAAATAAAAATAAAAAAAAAACCTAAACTAAGTATCTTATCACGGTGAACTTAAATTGTTTTTAAACCCCAAACTTTTCATAGGGTTTTATACTTTAGGCGATTGACTCTTAGGACTCAAAAGTTTCTATTTTTTTTTTGAGGGGGGGGGGGGGGGGGGGGTGCGAAACAAAACAAAATTCTCACTTTTTCCCTGTAGCATATCTGTTTCCTGGCAAACGTTCTCTCTAAACCGTTGCATTTCAAAACTCGTGCAGTAGCGAAACATCGATTGCCGTCGAAATGTATCTTGATACCCAACATGTGACTATCACGTGCTAGATAGTCCCACCTATCTACATCAATTCCGTTTCTCTTGTTAGCTACAATCTAATTATTAAAAAACAATATCCTTTTTGCTTTTTTTATTATTCGTCTGCCTTAAATTAGTCATTAAAATGATGAAAAAACACAAACATATGGATATTGTCAAATATATTCATTTTCAGTACTAAATCGACTGTTACATTTCTCCATTTATTTTTCAGTTCTCTAACTATCAGAGTCTTTCAAACGAATAAAGTTCAAAGTCATGTTGAGGAAATATATTCATGAGTAAACGAATCGCTCAAAACAATGAAATAAACCTAGAACCATAGAAGTAACTTCACTGTACATTGCATGAAAACTGTTCGGTATTTCGGTGTTATAGCGGATCATTATTTGATCACTCATTTAGAACGAAATGTGATTTTACAGTTGGATGATTTTTTTTTGTTTATCGCATGCCGCGTTGATTGAATTATTGAATTGATTGAATTATTGAATTGATTGTCCAGGAACGAGACCCTTGAAATGGTAATGACAAAGTTTTTTTTTTTCAATTACAAAAATAGAAAACACTTATAGAGTTTTAAATTTCATTCCGGTTCATATTTAGTGTGTTCGATTTCTTTATTATTAACAAGTAAATGTCTTGGAAAAGCTAACTGTCCAAGTATTGTTTTAGTATGATTAAACCATCATTTCCGAATGTAATCGCCAGAGCATCCTCCAACTCTAAAAAAACGCCTCAGAGGGGCTTTGACAGTTGGCGTGTAGAGTCTTAGAAACACTGGATGTGCGTCCACAGTAAGATTTGACTCAACTTGCGCAAATTTTCTTCAGACATATCAATTTTGGTTTGACTATGGGGACAATAATTCAGATGCATATTCTATCTGTGGTTCTTTTAAAATACAAAACTTACCTCAAGATATGCATTACCTCATACATATAGCTTTTGTTTTCCCCTCTCCCTTTGTATGGCCACGTCTGAAATATATTTTCTTTAAAGTAACATAAAAAGCAAAAGCTGGCATATTTTTATCAACTTTTAAACTGGTTTTTAAACCCTTTTGTTTCATATTATAAAATATTAATTTTATTATTTTAAAAAAACGTGAAAAATTTTTCCAAACAAAAAATAAAAAAAAGTAATACTCATTTTAAAAATAACGTAAGACTTTTTTCAAATATGGGGACAAAATACAAATACAAATTAAGAATATGTTTCATATACTTTACCGAGATGTTTAAGTATCATCACGATCTCTTTTATTCAATATATCTCAAAGAGAAATAAACATGCAATTAAAAAATAGACAACAAGAACAAAATGTCAGTACGCTTCTTTTCTCAATATCCTCAGGAGGTACATCGATCATTTCTTTGATAAAAGTAAAGTCATGTTCTTCGAACCCCTGAAAGTCTGGTATGTTGCACTCTCCTAAAATCTTCTGAATGTCCTTTTTAAGTTCTCCACCGTTACTGTCCAACATATCCTCAAACATTTTCCTTGCCATGGCTTCATGCTGTTAAAGGAACATGAAACATTTTGCAAATTTGTTCGTGTGTTCCTATCATGCGTGTCTTTGGGGATTTTATCTCATATTATAGCATAAAATTGGCTATTTTCCCCTCTTTTACCCATGTTATAACGGGACCAAAACCATGTGTTTACATAGTCACGCGCTCTTGTTATAGCCCGGTTTCACCTATGCGCAATACATACAGGGCCCAGTAAACAAACAAAACAAAAGATGACGATTTGGCCTGTTTGCCGAAGAGTCATGCGCTCTTGTTATATTGAAATTTATTGATTCGAGGGCCTCAGTCGCATATTCAAGTAACTATGCCGGAAAAACGGCGTATAGACATCGGTGCTAACCTTGGTTGTCGCCCTTTCTAAGAAACGGACAGTTGTCAATGTAAACAAAGACAGTAGAATCTACCTGTCATTCAGTTTAACACTCCGATTAACTTACAAAACTAGATAACACAAAATTAATATGAGAAAATGTTTTTTATTTATGTTAATGTTGATAAATGCTCTTTATATTTCTTTGATAGAATAATGCTTAGTGCCTGATTTTTTTATAAACTTGTTTGCTTGAAAAAAAAAACGATTCTGATGTCACTGATCTTTTTTCTACCGTCAATCTGAAATCATTCTAAGAATTTCTGAGGGTCATTATTTGTCTTGGGTAGAGGGTAGAGTAATGTAACCTTTTTTTTTTCTTGATGATATCTTGATAAATCTCCAAAGGCCAAGCTTTGTTAAATTAATTAAAATTCAAAATTTCGTTCGGTTCCGAGAATTTTCCAAGTTGTTGGCCCCGGAAAAATGAAACGCATACGTAAAACATAGAATCGGATAAATACCGTCCAAGCACAAGACTTTAATGTAATTGTGTTTTGTATAAACTATACATCACGAATCTGTTTGAAAATTTTAAGCTATAATAGCGTCAACGCACGTTTATTTCGTGTTATAAAGTCTGCAGAGTCCCTCGGAACTGTTGGAGCCCTCGCCCTACCGGGCTCGGGCACCAACCGTTCCTTGGGACTCTGCAGACGTTATAACACGGAAAAACGTGCGTTAACCCTATATTGTGTTACCTATTTACTTTCTTGACCATTTGGTTTCTAAGACCAAATGCTAAAATTAAAATACTATTCAAACAATATAACAATTTAGACACATATAAAAAAGTAGCTATTGAAAAAAACAATATGCCCTGCCACATGATGATAATGAGCATATCTGATATGATTAGAATACATTACCTTAAAATACTTGCTTTTGTCTACCGCAGGCATAAACCTTTTTTCAAACACATGCGAGAACGGTCCTTGGCCTAAAAGCATGAAACAGTACATTTAGCCTTTACCTGCATTCTATCACTGCTAAAACTCATATGAAATCAAAATATTTGAATGTATCAATGTTGCTAACTGTACAAGTAATATATCTATTACGATAATTGTAATGACATTGTAAAGGTTCAACAACATAGATCTGGCATTTCACATTACAACCATTGGCAATAGTATCCTAGTTAAGTATAAAAGTCAAACAAATTGGAAAACATTCACTCGTACTTGCATTATTAAATAATGAGTAGGGCAATTCAAACTATATATGTTAATATTACAAAAGTTAAATAACAACATCAACGGAAAGAAGACCTGCCTAGATCATGACAAAGTCCTGCTATTTCCACACAAAGAATGTCCCTCTCTGTAATGTTTTCTTCTGGTTGGTGTTCTTTGATAGTTTTTAAAAGTTTTCCAGCCAGATAACTTACCCTGTGTAGATAGAGTTTCCTCAATTACAACAATAAATGTAAAAAAAAATTAAACGAGGTATTTTAATTTCTTTACCTCTTAAACATTACAACAAGTTAAAAAGGTTTCCTGCGGAGAAAAATTATAATAATTTAAACATCAAATATACAATTTAAGTGTGTGTGGTTGATCCTATATATTGTGTATCCAAAGAGCAGGCTATCCAGACTTCCAAGCACTTTCAAATTTGTGTTTTATTTCATTTAACTTGTTTCAACTTAGTTGAAACAAGATAAGGTTCCATGATAACCGCCATATGAACAAATCTGCAGATGTTTCAAAATTCCAAATTGTACCAGTTCGTGTTACATGTTGGATTCTGCTTAAGCCGGTGCTAGGGGACGTGGACCGTAGTTTACACTTGACAGTACCGTCCATGAACAGGCTCAATCAAACCGAGCCTGCAACATTTTCAATTTTGCCGTGTTGGGCTTTCTTTAGGAATTCTTATTTTCTCTATATCCATGCCACATCAGCATTGTTTGTGCCGTGTGGAGGCTGTAGAAAGTCACCCCGTACATTCAACCAGAGATGTTATATTTCCGTTCCTTAAAGATCGTTCAGCACGGCTTTATTGTTGTACTTGTGGTAATTTAGTCATTTCTATTCGGCTATTTTCTTGTTGGGTGGTTCCAGTATTCCTAATTTGAATACTGTTGAATCATCCTTAGGATATGTGGCCTGCTTTTGAAATTTGTCTTTTAACGTATTATCTGTGATATGCAGGCTTCATAACCTCTGATCCCCTTTCAAAATTCCATTTTATTTAGTTCCGCTCAATGTTTTCTAGTTAAGGGCACATGCATTTTTTTACCTTGGGACCATATGCTGCTTTTCATGGAATGGCACTTACGTGTGACATTTAAGGTTCCATGCATGATAACCGCCATATGAACATATCTGCGGATGTTTCAAAATTCCAAATTGTATCAGTTTATGATATATGTTGAATTCTGCTTAAGCCGGTGCTAGAGGGCGTGGACCGTAGTTTGCACTTGACAGAACCGTCCATGAACAGGCTCAATCAATCCGAGCCTATACATTTTCAATTTTGCCGTGTTGGGCTTTCTTTAGGAATTCTTATTTTCTTAATAATATTTGATTATTCTTCAAGGGGACTTCACTTAGGTTTTTTTAAATGATGGAACTAGAAATATATTTTTGAGATTCACGTTCCATTTGATGAAGGTCTAGACCAAATATTTGTGCATTATTTCAGATAATTTGCTAACTCCGTTTTTCAAGACAGACATAGGCTATGATAAAAATAGCTCAAAAATACACATTTCAAATTATTTCTGAGTATATTTCTTGATCATCTTTTTTCATAATTTTCTTTTTCAAGTGTCCCAGATAACCTTTGTCAGAAATTTAAATTTTATGATTTTGGACTTTTACTATACCTTTTTGAAACTACCATGTGTTCATGAAGTATACATGTTATTAACTATACAACGTTGATTTACTATTCATGTACGGGTGACAGATCACGTGCATCTCCATGCTTCAAAAATTAAATCCATTCCAATATACCTGTGGACTGCAAAGACCGTCATCGTAGGTACTAGATAAGACCAAACGTGGTAAGTAAAACTATATTATCCATTTTAAATTGCGTTCGGACTTTTATTTATCTTTATTTTTGCGAAACTGCTATAATAATTATTTTGCGATACTATTCACTGGTAAAAAGATAATATTTAACATTATACATCTATGTATCAGTCATTAAAATCCTTCCGAAAATGTACTTACCCAATTGAGTGTTCAAACCTATTATGGCTTGCTCCAGGATATACTAGGTAGCATGCGTCTAGCTGTTTGATGTGTCTCAGTCGCTGAAACTGAGGCGTATCCATTATGCGCACGCATACCGGATGTATTTCCATTGTCCCATGAATCGGATCGTTGAATATCTAGCAAAATGAAAAGATGTTTGCAATCTCTTATTATCTCTCTTATTGTGTTGACATTAACTAAAAAAATTCTGCGATTCAAAGTACGTCTGTGTTTACCATTACGACTCCGTTATAGCACATACAAGGGGTAAATTAACCACTTCAAAATGTGTATGCTACGGTGTTTTTACGCAAGTTTACATACCTTATTAAGCATTGAAAGAAGTTAATACGAAGTATTTGATGGTGTGGCTATCACTATCAAAATATTTACAAATATACTTATTTTACGAAAATGAATAGAAATAGAAAACTATCAGAAATTTGTTTATAAATGAGCACTATATCAAAAAGATAAAAATAACATTTTCTCCTAGAAGTTATACACTAGGATTTATAAAACACCTACTAGTATTTTATTAAATCGACACAACGTGAAATTTGTGGGGTTTTGATAGCAACATCAAAAGTTAAAGCATACACATCTTCTGAGAAAGTAACATATGAATCGGTCATTTTGGACAAAAAAAACACGGTGACTATAAAATCAACAAAGTACAAATGTTGCTGCAATGCAGCTATTGAAAAGCTCCGCGCGCAAAATGCGCTCATTGCAGATACCTTTCCAAATCAATCCTACGCACATGCAGGTCATGGTCTATTCAAATTAAGTTATTGTACATTATTCCTGATGTTTTGTAAATCACTTTTGCATAATTTTACTTATCGTATGCACTGTCTATGAGCGAGGGGCCAGGTATTTGATATTAAAAAATATGGTTACACTGATTGCCTACCTGGTAAGGAAAGTAATCCAAGACTTACAAGACTTGCAAATGTAGCATGACAGTAAGGCAACATTGTTTTGTTTGTGTCACTACTGGAGTCAGTAATAAAAGATGATAAAAAACATTTTCTTTTTAACCTATTATGCTACTCATTTTCTACACATATCAACAACTAATCACGGTAAGTAATATAAAAATCCATATGTAAATAAGCCCTCAAAAATTTTTTATTGACTTTACTTTTCAAAATGTCCTTTGCTTGTTTCGCGGCAAATGGTTTATCATGATATAACGAGAGAAAAAAATGATGCAAAGCATCAAACGATGTCCAAGCAAGAAATGCAAACTAGTAGACACCTGATGACTAGATATTCTTATAAAGTTGTCAATGGTTAATTGGACCAGAATTGTATATCATAGATAAATGGGAGAACAAAAAAACTCGTTTATCATGAACTTTGGTAGTCAAAATGAACAGTCTGTATTTTTTATTATAATTGTTACAAATAGTAACAAAAGAGACTAATATAGTACTATAACATGCATTTTTTTGTCAAATTAAAAAAAAAATGTCCATTAATACCTAGGATTTAAGATACAGTTGTTATATTTCAAGTTCCAGATAAATACCACTGGATTGAAAAAATGGGATGAATTTCCAAAAGACCAAATTCAGGAATTATTGTTTGTTATACGCAGTATATGGTGAAACATTATTTTTTATTAATATAATGGAAGACTGTTACCTGTAACTGAGACATTTATGAGGAAATTCACTGACATCATGTTCGTGGGAGTCAAAGATATAAAAGCTACTTGACATTGGTGATATATAAAAAGCCATTGTTAATTGATTTATTGGGAGATCAATCTAATATTTTGTTGAAAACCATCTGTGTTTACATTCACATAAACCCATAACACCCCATGTTCAATCTGCAGACGAAAGTTTCTGGTGTTTAAATATCACAGTTTTAGCCAAATCAACATTCCACTCAAACCACCATAAAACTGATTGCCTTCAAACAAAATAGAATCAACTTCTTACAGAAAAATTTCGAAAAACACGGGTCAATTTAAATATTCACAGTAAAAAATGTCAGAATTGCAATCAGGGCCGTAAAAAAGATAGGAGCTATATATCGGAAAGAACCTACGGAAAAGACAATTTCAAAATGATAATTGTTTTCGATAAATTTATAAAGAGTGCAATTTATCGTTGAATATGATTGCATTTCATTTCCTGCAAAATCCTCCAGTTCGTAATTTATTATCATAGCGCGACCCGAATGGCCGTTTCGTTAAGACTAAAACTACTTCTATAAATAGAATTTCGGACTTTCACAATGTTAATAGCTATTCAAATTCATGTAAAGCAATCAATGCATACATAATCCACTGTGTAATACAAAATAATAAATAATTTCCTGTAGATGATACAAATGCAAGAAACAAATTACCAAATTTAAGTTGATTTTTTGTTTTGTCTATAATACTGCTTTCGGCGTGAATTTGTTCTCGTTCTCAATCATTAGAATGACATGCTGCAAATCGCCGAAGGGGAAACCAATATTTGACTTAAATAATATAAATCGGAAGGAGTTTTTGATTCCGAATTTATTCTTAGCTGTAAATCGAAGAAATTTATTGATAAAAATCGGGTCCATGGACAAAAAATATAGTAAACACAAATAGCTCCGCGCCTGTGGGCGCGCAGCAATAATGAAAATTGATGATTAATGACAAAATGTAACCTCCCTCACACCCTCTTAACCTTGCTCACCTTTGCAGCATTCTATAAACAGGAAATTGTATAAATGAACAGTTATTGCGACAATTTCATAAATATCTTTTTGTAAATTTCCCAATTGCTAAAATACCTTTCTTTTCATGAATATGTTATTTGGCCAATCTGGTTGATGTTGCTGTTCAAGATTCACTGAACTGTTTTCATCCCCTTCAGCTGCCATAGTTTTGTCTGTAACGTCAACATTAAAGCACATAATGCATTGGTTAAAGAACGTGTTAGATTCTTATTACCTGAAGAAAGTAGTGCTGAATGTATAAAAATTGCGAAATTTAAACAAAGTGGTATTTTTACTTCCATACAAAATACTTAATCTGTATAATTGTTCCACTTGCCAAAAACCAACAGAAACAAACGATGATTCAGGTTATTGGCCAGTGAGTGTTTTTTTTTGAAACTGTAATAAAACACTAGAAATGAAAAGCTTTCGAGAAATAATTATAAACGCATATCTTGGCATATTGGGTCTTTAACATGTTTCATTAACATGACTACATATTTCACAATGAAATTCAATCAACTGGACTATATATAATTGTGTATTTCTATTTTGTGTTTCATGACTGAAAATATATTTAAGCTGATATAAGCGCAATACCTAGAAATCAATATATGTTAAGAAAAAGCTACATGATTTTTTTCTCTCGAAAATAATATTAAGATACGGAGGATGTTTCAATTTGTTGTAAGTTAAGCTATTATTTATTGACTGATTCTGTGAAAGAATTTGTTATCATTATCTACTGTAATCAGATGGAGCAATGTGGCGATACCACGGGACCTTTAAGATACAGAAAACGCGCCTTATTGTCCAATTCAAGTATGTTTTTTTTATCAATATCTTTGATGTTACCCAACCGATTTTTACGAGATATCCGTAAATATTCAAACTACCCACGTTTTTTTTTTATAAATTAAGAAAACCCCAACATCATTTCTGAAAATATTTGAGTTCAATTATTTTTCATATATGCGATACACTTCTGAAGTTTAAAGCAAGTCCTCTGTTCTTTCTTGTCGTTTGAAGGAGATATATGTAATAAGTAGATCTATTATAGAGTTACTATTGCCAATTTGTCTAATTATGAATTGCAGTTTTTTGACATATTAAAGCTATATTAAGATGATACGGAGCACGTCGTTTTTATTCTGATCAAATGTTATTTATATGAAATATTGCTCATATATCGTGTTTTTCCCTTAAAGCAACACAAATTTCGAATACAGGGATACCTATGAGATAACATTGTACGGTTTGAAGTTCTAGTTTTCAGAAACCATAAGAGATGCTTTGTATAATGGCATATGATATTTTAACTCTCATTGTTCAAAATATAGATTGGTCGAAATATTATCTCGATGTTTTCAAACAGTACTTGATATTGTAAAAATGTGGTCTAAACTTCTAAATTATAAGCTCGACTTGTGTGATCACTGATAAAAAAAAATACTTGAATCGGGCATAAAATGCACATGTTCCGTATCTTTATCGTGAAACAATAATAAATTTGAGACTTTCAGCTCGGTATTCATTTCAGTATGTGTGTCTTTAGATATCACTGATATATTCTAAGTAACTTTCAAAGCCCCCTATCACATACTTAAGTAGAATATAAGATTGATATGGTGTTGAGGGAACTATAAATACTGACGATAAATTTAAAGTATTTTGCCTAATTGTTGTTTGTTGAGGCAAAGGTTTTAGTGCATTTGTGGCTAACTTCAGAAGCGCAGTCTGAACGCAGAAAATAGCCATTCAATTAAAACGCCGTGGGCGCTTTGTAGCATCGCCTTAATCGCCGTAGAACGCCGTGAAGTCTCCAGGTCATGAAAAATACCACATTTTATCTGCGATCTCACGGCTCTTTGTAAAATTTAACAAATCCGTGCAACGCTATGAAAGCGCAGTCTAGTGTGACAAGGCCTTTAGGAGTATTTTGCTTTTTTATGTTTAAAGATATGCTATTTATATGTACCGCCATAATGAGTTGAATTGTATTTGAATCTCTTTCACATTTCTATGTTCCGGAATGATATTTTGTCTTACGCAGTTTGCACATGCGCGAAATAAAAAGTACTTCATCTGGGCGATTTTGCATAACAACAGGCCATGTTGTTTGAAAGTCTATACTTGTGTATTTTAAAATAAGGGCTTTTTGAAAGGCAGATTGTATCTTACTATTTCCGAACAAGTGAATGTACATCCAACAGAAGGCTTCCTGAAATTTTCTGAAAAATTTACTTAATGTAATAAAGAGAAACAGCTTTCTTACAGTCAAGACTGCAGATATAATATACAATTCATAAAACTCTATCTAAAATATCATATAACTGCTTTTTTTTATCATAAATTGATATTAATAACTGTCAAAATTTGAAATTAATATTTATATTTATTTACCAAAGTGTAATATTCTTATTATATTACCTTAATTCTTATAAATTCCCCAAGTAAAGACGCCTGTATGTCATTTATAAAATTGAAACTTTATATTATGACATTAGGTTTAAGTGCAGGAACGATGCATGTTGATTGCGTTTATCTATATGATAAATCCAGATTAATGATAAGCCGCAATGCAAATGAATCAATATATTTAAGTATAACAAAATGATTGTGATTGTACAGACAGTGATCTTCATATGAAATTGTTATAGTACATGAAACGAGTTCGTTACGAGGATTTAACATTGGCTGGGGCGACATCCAGGGATATTTCTGAGAAAAAAAGGGGAGGCCGTTAGGCGGAGAAAATATTTTTGCAGAAACAATCTGAGATGTCGCACAGCCAGTGTTATATCCTCGTAACTAACGAGTTTCATATACTATAACTGTTTTATCGCAATGGCATAATGTTTTCTTTTTATTGTTGTTGTTGTTGTTGTTGTCAGCGGATGTACCATTTGATTATATGAGAGAAAATTTAATTTAATTCACTATTTTTGTTTATATTTTACATTTTATTTATTCATTTATTTATTTATTTACATACATTTATCTTTTTTATTTATTTATTCATTTATTCATTTATTTATTTATTTTGCTACTGGGAATGTTCGTTACCCTTGCCCCATTGGAGCCTCTGTGAAAAAACTGCACTGATATATACAAGGTGCGAAAAAACTCAACTTCTATATATAAGTTGAATTTTATTCCCTATATGAATCAATGAAAAAACTGCACTGCTATATATAATACTCATTGAAGTGTACTGAGTATAATGGGTTAGTAAGGACAAAGAAAACGTTCGAAACCATGCGATAATTATGCGATAAAATATTTTTTCAGCATGGGCAATAATCTAACCCGTGTAATATTTTCTTGACAGATTTTAACTTTTGATCTATAAAGAAATGAGTGTAGTTGAGTTTCGACACCTTTGATGTTTAAATATCAGGGACTGAATGTATGATTGACAGATTATTTCAAAGGTCGGCTTGACACTCGCCAGAATTCATCCCTTGCGTAGATTTCATGTGTTGTTAAACAATTGCAACGTGATATTTTATTAATTTGCGGCTGCTATATTGTTTTCACACATGTGGGCAAATGTTTTTATGTATTTAAGCATAGTGGGATATAGACAATTGGCGATGAATTTCATTTAATTTCCCTAGTAAGTACTATGTACGCACTACATTTATCAGAATCGGGATGGACCAATTGATAAAAGAAGATATGCTTACAAAGTATCTTACCTTCCAGACATTAGTATATAAAAACTTTTTTCCCGCCTCCCACCCTACTTTTTTGGAAAAAAAAGGTAAACCAAAAGATATTACTATGTGGCGATTTGTTATATTGTGAATCGTTATTGCATTATCTAGGGCCGTGAGCAGTATGATAAAGGAAAATTTTATTGATTACTAGTTTATTTGTTTACTTTAACCATAGCAATGGCGCGAAAAGAACGTTGTGAAAGACATTCGTTATAATGATTATGATAAAGCATATTTCGATATTTTCAATATAAAAACCCTGCTTTAAGTCTATCAATCTATATATGAGCTACTGCTTGTCCCGAAATATCAACCCCTCGCAGGGACTCACATCACACATGTATGCAAAACTTATGTAAATGACTCTTTCTGTATAGGGGGATAATTGAAAAAATGAAGGTATATGGATTATATTATTTCATTATTAATGGTTATATTAAAATTCCTCTCTCGGGCCTATATAAGTGCATGATTTTTATTATAAATGTCCTTTCTATGGCCTACATCATATACAATTTAGGAAATAAGTGCTGATAAGTATGATAAAATGGGCAAAATAATTCAGAGACAAAGTAGGCAAGCATGATTCTTTTAACCTACTGTCTTAATAAATGTGAATTAATGTGAAACAAATCATTCATAAAGTTAAGTTATTATCAAAATTCAGATTGCCACTTTTACTGTTTATTTATATTGAAGCAATTTTAAACTGACATATTTAAAAGTAAAATAAATTTAAAGAAATAAATACCAAAAAGTACAATTTATTGTACACAAATCATAACGAGTATATACCAAAAAAAAATGTTTTGTGGTATGCTTGATTAAATTGAACTTTTGTCTTGATAATGAAGAATATAAAATGACATTTAGAGGAAGAAATTGTTTGCAATCATATTATGTATTGTATAAATTGATATTCACTGTTTTAACAAGGACAAGCAGCAGGTGTCAAGTACCATGTGGCAGCTTAAAAAGTTGCCCCGTACTTTACTTCAGTGTTGTTATATTTTCTGGTCCTTCGGGATCATTGATGCAAGCACTATTAATAAAGTGTTGAGAATTGAGTATCATTCAAGCCGGGATAAGGGGGCGTGAGGGATGTTAAACTTATTCATTACCCCTCATGTACAGACCCAATCCAACCGAGTCTGCAATTTTCATGTAATTTTGTTGTGATTAATGCTTCTGAGAGATCCCTTTGTTTCCAGATATTTATATTTCACAACAGCAGGTGTCATGTGCTGTCTGGCAGCTGTTAAAAATTGCCCCGTACTTCACTTCAGTGTTGTTATATTTTTCTGGTCCTTCGGGATCATTGATGCCAACACTATTAAGTGTTGAGAATTAAGTACCGCTCAAGCCGGTGCTAGGGGGCGTGAGGGATCTTGCACTTATTCATTATCCCTCATTTACAGACTCAAACCGAGTCTGCAATTTTCATGTA